ATCTCTGCTTATCTGGGTGATGATTGCTGGTGAGGAGATGTTCTGGTCTTTTGTTTTCCCTACCAGAGGGGAAAAAACAAAACAAAACCCCCACCCCCACCAACACTGGCAAGGCATGCCACAGTATATAAACAGAGAGCAAATCCCATTCCATTCTAACACTGAAGATGTTACCTAGCTGGGTAACGAAACATTTGCAAGGAAAGAACCAAGCTCAGAGAACCCCAAGGACTCCACAGATAACAGTTTCTGACATCATTTGTGGGGGAAAATGCAGGAGCTGTGTGAGCAGTAAAGCTGATTGTTACAACTACAATTTAGCATTGCATCCAGACCTGTCCATTATACAAAAGCAACTAATAGAGATGTATCAAAATAAATGTTTTTTTTAATGGAATAGAGCAGATACTTCTTTACTATCAAGCATTACTAGTTCTTCCATGTCCAGGTTTTTGATTGCTATCATACTTATCATAGCCAATTACTGTTGTAGAAGTATTGCTTGTTTTTCTCCAGTTGGTATTTACAAACCACTTCCCGACTAAGCTCCTTCTCTCCTTGTACAAGGACTCATATTTTTAATATTTATTTTCTAAAATACACTCTTTATATCTGCATTTTCAATTTTATGCCTTGCTAAAGAATTAGTGAAAAAGATGGAAAGATCAAATCTGTGGAAGAACTGCTTCAAGCTGAAGTCCTTAAAGTTGCAACCAAGGAGAAAACTCTTGGGGTAAATATTGGATCTTTTGGATGTTGATGCTCCATTATTTGTGGCATTAACTTTTGAGTGTGTTTGTCCCTGCACTGCATTTTAGTTAAATTTGTTTTTGCAACATTCTCATTTTGTGTTGTCTCCATTGTCCAATTTTGTATGTTTTGTCATTGAAAAGGCTTTGGCACAGGAAATAGAGGCTGTGAAAGAAGAACTAAGAAAGGCCCAGCTTGAGAAGGACACTCAGGTAAAGTCATAATGAGCTAGCAGCTGGATATATTTTATTTTGCGTAGTTTCTCCTCCTCTGCTGCTTTCCTATCTGACTAGGGGCTCTCAATTAAAAAAAAAAAGGGATTCATTTCAGTTTTTGCCATGAGGCTTAACTGCCATGATTGCAGTGTGGTGTAGTGACTATCATACTGAACTAGGACCAGGGGGACTCCACATCTACCCTCAACTGTGAAAAATAACTGAGTGGCTATAGGCCAGTCTATATCTCTCAGCCCAGCCTATCTCACAGTTTTTTTTTGTGGGCATAAAATGGAGATTCCCATGTAAAGTACCTTGAGTTCCTAGACAAGCTGAGATACAAAACTAATAAAGTATTTTTTTATTTGGATGACAGCCCTAGCATTTCCATGAATGGTACTTCTGTCCTTTCACAGAAATGCTAGGGCTGTCATCCAAGAAGAATTTTAAGAAAACAGCTACTCTAAATACTCTAAAGGGCATTTAGAGATGCCAATATTGTAATGCCCTCATACAGTGGGGCAAAAAAGTATTTAGTCAGCCACCAATTGTGCAAGTTCTCCCACTTAAAAAGATGAGAGAGGCCTGTAATTTCCATCATAGGTATACCTCAACTATGAGAGACAAAATGGGGGAAAAAATCCAGAAAATCACATTGTCTGATTTTTAAAGAATTTATTTGCAAATCATGGTGGAAAATAATAGGTATACCTCAACTATGAGAGACAAAATGGGGGAAAAAATCCAGAAAATCACATTGTCTGATTTTTAAAGAATTTATTTGCAAATCATGGTGGAAAATAATAGGTATACCTCAACTATGAGAGACAAAATGGGGGAAAAAATCCAGAAAATCACATTGTCTGATTTTTAAAGAATTTATTTGCAAATCATGGTGGAAAATAATAGGTATACCTCAACTATGAGAGACAAAATGGGGGAAAAAATCCAGAAAATCACATTGTCTGATTTTTAAAGAATTTATTTGCAAATCATGGTGGAAAATAATAGGTATACCTCAACTATGAGAGACAAAATGGGGGAAAAAATCCAGAAAATCACATTGTCTGATTTTTAAAGAATTTATTTGCAAATCATGGTGGAAAATAATAGGTATACCTCAACTATGAGAGACAAAATGGGGGAAAAAATCCAGAAAATCACATTGTCTGATTTTTAAAGAATTTATTTGCAAATCATGGTGGAAAATAATAGGTATACCTCAACTATGAGAGACAAAATGGGGGAAAAAATCCAGAAAATCACATTGTCTGATTTTTAAAGAATTTATTTGCAAATCATGGTGGAAAATAATAGGTATACCTCAACTATGAGAGACAAAATGGGGGAAAAAATCCAGAAAATCACATTGTCTGATTTTTAAAGAATTTATTTGCAAATCATGGTGGAAAATAATAGGTATACCTCAACTATGAGAGACAAAATGGGGGAAAAAATCCAGAAAATCACATTGTCTGATTTTTAAAGAATTTATTTGCAAATCATGGTGGAAAATATATACCTATGATGGAAATTACAGGCCTCTCTCATCTTTTTAAGTGGGAGAACTTGCACAATTGGTGGCTGACTAAATACTTTTTTGCCCCACTGTATAAATCAGTGGTGCAAGTACCTCTGGAATATTGTGTGCAGTTCTGGTTGTCACAACCCAAAAAGGATATAATGGAGCAAGAGAGGGTTAGAGGAAGGCAACTAAGATAATGAAGGGGCTAGAGCAGCTTCCCTACAAGGAATGGCTGCAACATATCTCGGGCTTTTTAGCATAGCAAGGAGGGAAATGAGAGGGGGCATTATTGAGGTGTGCTGAATTGTGCATAGTACAAAGTGGGCAAGGAGAAGCTATTTCTGCTTTCCCAAAGCACTTGAAACAGAGGTCACCCAGTGAAATTGAATCCTGGAAGAATCAGGACAAACAAAAGGATTTTTTTATTATACAACACATGGTTCAACTTTGGAATTCAGTACTATGAGGTGTGTTGCTGGCTACCAGCTTGGCTGGCTTCAAAAAAGGGTTGGTTTTGATTCCCTTTTTTGGATTAAGTTGTAAGGTGCTTTCTCTGTGTCTGTTTATTTAGAAGCAGGCATAAGCTCTTCATATTCAGTAGATCTTAATCCCAGAAAGCAAACACACACACACACACACACAAGGACTGTTACAGAGATGACAGGGAGCACATTTCTTTGGGTAACAGAATAAGAACTGATAAACAATTAAAAAACAGAAACTCTCCCAAAATATGTACATGAAGAACGAATTTTTCTTATGAATTAGTTTCGTTGCTATTCCTTCTGAGTATCCTGGGTTCTTCATCTTTCAAGACATTCTCATTATTAATGTTCTTGCCCATTATTTCTTTTGTCTTCCAGAACACATAATTTTTAGCCTTACAAAAGATGCTCTTTTTCTAAAATAATCTGACTGCAATTAATTAAATTCCCAAGAGTAGCATTTTACAGAATGGCCAAAGTATTCCAAAAGACCATGTTTTTGATGTTAGCGCTGTATAATGGCTTGCTATCTTAATTTTTCCCACCTTGGTTTTACAGTTTATCATTACACTACACATCTCTTTTCTATACATATATGTTTATTTTTTCTGTTAGGTGTCAGTAGTTCAGGAAGTCAAAGATCTTCAAAAACAGTAAGTATTGCTGGTGACAAGAATTGTAGTGTTTGCCAGCTGTCCTTGTTAATAGAATATAGTTTTTGTTTTCATAGTCAATTATGTTTATCATATTCTAAACAGTTCTTCAGGCATAATCTAGAATTGGAAAACTATGGTAAGGCCTATGGCAAGCCTCTGATTAGGATTTAGGTAACTGAAATTGAAGTCATTATTTTAACAGCAAGTAAAGGCTTTTAAAACAGCCTTTCCCCCAACAACTGCAATTGGCTGTTGGACAAGATAATGAGTCTACCCCTTCTGGAAATTAGGTTCCCTAAGAAGGGGAAGTATGTCACATGTGGCTGGTTCAAGAGATGCCAAGAGAGGGTGCATCATCACCTCTTTCATAGCAGGTGACCCAACATTCTCCCTCAAGGAAACTATACTCACCTCCCATATACAGCCTCCCATACCTTCTCTGGCTGCCCAAAGAAGCCAGGAGGGGCATGGATCTAATCCAAAGATGGCACAGCTCATATTGCAAAGATTCTTTTTCAGTTCCTCAGTTCTGCAAATTCACAAGACTCCCAGATTTTGACACAAAATGCTGCTGCATTCCCCACAGTGGACTCTACCTAACTGGTGTCCAAACTAGAGTGGGTATGAGTGACATTTCCCATGAAGAAAGCCACAAAACATACTAGCTGATGTGCAAGTTTTGTCTCACCATTTTATCCAAAAAAGGTCCAGTCACTCTGATTAAGGGCCACAAGAAGAACTGATGCTTCTATTATCTCCACTGCGTAGGCTTGACTGTGAGCTCATACCAGCGCTCAGTCAGGTTCACTTTTTATTTTGCACCCCTGTCATATCTTTTCAATCATTTAACTTTCCTCAGTTTCTCAGTAAAGTAAGGAACCACTTGGGATAAGCAACCGAGAAGAAACTTCCTGGGTACAAGACAACTCTTGGCAAATTGTCAGGGAAACTCCTAGTGCTGTCTGGAAACCTTATGGATACATTAGGTACCAGGAGCAGATCATCTTAAAAGGTGCTCTGCCCTTGCAGAATCAGGAAGTGATTTGTACAGCAAAGGACAGTAGTTAATGTCCTCCATCCTCAGATCACATCTCATTTGCTCTGATATGAAAACCATATTTAGTGTGTATTTGTCTATGTGTGTCACAGCAATAATGTATAGCAGGCTCAAGGTCACTGGGGAGGTCATGAACTCGAGCTGTGTTAGATTCCTTTCCCAGGACATTGCAATTATAGTCATCCAAGAACAGCCGCCTCAGGAACTCCCAAACCAGCACCAGACACATCCAGAAGCTCATAAAAGTCAACTAGGCAATCAGTACACTAACAGGAACTTCAGCTTGTCCTTATGGCAGTGTTGTCCAAACTTGGCCACTTTAAGATGAGTGGACTTCAACTCCCAGAA